CTAAGACTAAGAGTCCTCTAACTAGCTAACTTAATTAATGCAATTAATAAATGGAACCAAACATCTTATGGTGTACTGGATTTTACGAGTTTATTTATTTACCGCTGAAGTGGATGTGTTATATTTATCCATTACTCATGGTATGTACTTTGTCAAATCTAAACCCAAATAATAATTAACAGCAAATAAATAAAAAAAATTCTACCTATCTATTTTTTTTGACAGAAACATATATGATTGAATAAAGTGTAGACTTATAATCTTTTAAGTCCTAAGAAAAGGGTATATCTCACACCTAAGATTGCAGCTCGTACCCAAAACTCTCGCTCTTTCTTTACCGTCACAACACTTGGAAAGCTCTCTGATACTCCATTCCAAACAATCTTTAATTTTTTTCGTAGTTAACTAATATTAGGCATAACATCAACTATGTTTCCATGACAACTAAGCAAAAAGCTGTATGTTATAAGAAGCTCACACATCAGCAAAACTTTGAACTAATAAAAATATAACAATAGTACATATCATCAACACAATAATCAAATCAGTTTACTATTTTGCTTACCCATAAAAAGCCCAAAGTTTACAAAAAAATGAAGGTCGAAAGCAAAGGAGGAGAAGCTCAAACCACGACAGCTAGAAGATTCGCACTTCCGGTGGTTACCCAGAACAAATCAATAACTTTTTGATTATTCTCCGTCACTAAGCCTCACATGAGACCTTTCCATCTCTCATGGTTTCACTTATTATGCTGATTTGTCTCCATTTTTGCAGCTCGGGCTTCCTCCCAGTCAATCATGAAAACCTCAATCTCAGCATCATTGACATCGGAAACATCGGCATCACCACTGTTTCCGGATTGGTTTTCACTCAGTTTCTTGGCTTAATTCTTGGGAAATGAAAACTCTCGGTTTTGACGGAAAAATGAGATTTTCCGATTTTGGCGCGAAAAGGAAATTCCTCAGTTTTGACGGAAAACAAAATATCTCGGTTATTGATAGGAAATACGAATTCTTGGTTTTGGTGAATACATGTTATAAGGAGTTATAGAAATTAATATATACAAGTTTTTATATTATATTTTTTTTATTATTGCAATATAACTAAAACTTAAGTGTAATTTGTGATATTAACCTCTAAACTATTATAATGATTCATCACTTAAATGACACCTCATTTTTGGTTAAAAAATAAAAAAAGACATTATAGTTTCTATTTTTTCAACATTAAAAATTGATTGCTCTTCCCTCTAGTATTCCATTCCTAAACATTAGATTGCTTCAAAAAAGGTATAAGAGTAAGAACAATGCACAGTTGTACTTGTGTTTCAAATTTGGCTGATGAAAACCACCATGTTTCTTAACCATAAACCTGAATTAGTTTGGTATTAGTTTATTAGTACTAAAAATGATTTTTCATTAAGATTTTCTTTTCAAAAACTGAAATAAGTGAAATTCTATATACAACCACATTTTAGTTTATTACAATGTTTAGAGATCCGATCCAGATTGCCCGGTTAAACTGAGATCTGCTCACTATCTCGGTCTCGTTCTAATTTTAAAATATGTAACTTATTAAATTGGGAAAATTCAGAAAAATCCACGAGCAATCCGCAAACCATTGACCCGCCAGCCCAGTTGAATCAGCAAATTCATTTAAAGATATTCCGGGTCAGAAAGCATGGACCTTGTGTTGGCTAATAAAGTAGACGAAGATGTTGTGATGACTGCTGAGAAACTCGCAGAGGTTTCTGTTAAGGTTCTCTGCCATGGAATGCCTGTTGCAGTGAGTTTACTCGCTGAGTTTGCTATCAACTCGGCTGATGAACACTCCAAGCTTGTTAACCAACAGGAGGAGGACGACACAACCACATCGGAGCAGCGTTCGGACGTAAATTTGAACTCCTAATTGTTGTTTAGCTTATTTTGGTTTTAAAGGGTTTAGATATTAGATAGGCATCATCTTTTGCTATCAGAAGATATTTTTTTAGATGGATGAGAGATTTGTATCATTAATAAGACAAATAGAGTTTAGTTCAGTTGATTTTGAGCATGTACCAAAGAAGAGTCTTCCAATTTCGAGTTCTGGTATACTGGACTTTGGTATTTTCTCCGCATAGCCGGTTTTCTTGATGTGGCAACCTGCTAATGCATTGTCCATAAGACTCATAACCAATTGTAAGCCAATAGAATCTCCTTCAGAACGAAAAGAGTTATAATCTCAGATTTATAAAAAAAAATATCTTAGTTTTGACGAGAAAATGCGAGGGAAATGCAACTTTTCAATTTTAACGAAAAATACGATTTCTCGGTTTTGATAGGAGATGCAAATTTTTGGCTTTTGATGGATAATATGATTTCTTGATTTTTGCAGGAAAATACGATTTATTAGTTTTTGCAAACATTTTATTAATATACATTACCTACTAACTTTTGTTATTCTTAACTTAAACTCATTAAAAACCTAAATATTTTTCTTTGTTAATCTTTATTTTATCTTTTGCCAAACCCAAGTCCAAATAATAAATAACAGAAAATAAAAAAATGTTTTATTTTTTACCATCCCCAAATCCAAATAATAAATAACAACAAATAAAAAAAATTAAATCTTTGTTTTATATATTTTCCAAACCGAAACTCAAATAATAAATAACAGCAAAAAAAATTAAAATTTCTAACTATGTGTTTGCTTGATAGAGACATATATGATTGAAGAAAATGTAGACTCATCATCAATTATGCTTCCACAACAACAACGCAAAAAGGCTTATTTTATAAGAAGCTCACACATCAACAAAAAGTTTGAACCAATAATAACATAACAATAATACATATCATTAACACACTATTAAAATCAGTTTACTATTTGCCGACCCATTAAAAAGCCCAATGTTTACAAAAAAATGGAAGTCAAAAGCAAATGAGGAGAAGCTCAGACCACCACAGCTTGGAGATTCGCATTTCTGGTGGTTACCGAGAACAAATTTTTTTGGATTTGGTGGAAATAGAGAATTTCTTGGTTTCGGTAGGAAAATGTGATTTTCAGTTTTGGTAGGAAAACATAATTTCTCGGTTATGGTGGAAAAAAGTGAATTCTTTGGCCGAAAAAGTGAATTTTTTGGCGGAAAAATGTGAATTTTTTGGTTTTGGTGAGAAGAAAATTGATTTTGATGCGAAAACAAAATATCTTAGTTTTGACGAGAAAATGCGAGGGAAATCCAACTTTTCAATTTTGACAAAAAAATACGATTTCTCGGTTTTGATAGAAAATGCAAATTTTCGGGTTTTGATGGATAATGTGATTTCTTGATTTTCACGGAAAATGTGATTTTGTAGTTTTTGCGGGAAACACAATTTCTCAGGAGATAATGCAATTTTTGGTTTTCGTGGGAAATTGTAGTTTATCGGTTTTGGTAGGAAGGCGTGATTCTTGGTTTGACAAGAAAAATATTTTTTTTTTGTTTTGGCAGGAATAGGCAGGAATAGATGATATCTCGGTTTCTGTGAAATTTTTTTTTCCAGTTTTGACGGGACAATAGGAATTTTTGATTTTTGCATGAAGATAAATTTTTTTGGTTTTGGTGAAAAAACTTGTTTTCTTTGTTTTGGCGTGAAAACACAGGTTCTCGCGAGAAAATGTGATTTTTTGATTTTTGCAGAAAAATGCAATTTCTTTGTTTTGGTAGGAAAATAAAATTTTAGGTTTGACGAGAAAATAATTTTTTTTTGGTTTTGGTGGGAATAGACAATTTCTCAATTTTGTGGGAAAATGAATTTTTTTTTTATTGTAAAATGCAATTTTTCTGTTTTTGTAAAAAGATAAAATTTCTGTGTTAAATTTTCAAGTTACAATATGTTTATAGTAACCAAAATTGAATTATTTAACTTCAACTAAATTGATATTTCAACAGTTCAAACATAACTTTCTATTTAGTTCTAAAGCAATATCAATAATTTTGATATTATGTTATTGATTATAGTTTGGTAGTTTTAGAAACATATGTTTATAATAAAATATTGATAAATAAATAAATTTTATAATTCAAAATAACCATATTAATTAATATTTTTTTAAATGGCAATTTGCTTTATAGAATTCCAAAAGAGGATCAAGTGGCAATTTAGTAGAGAAAATAAATTGCATTTGCTATTAGTATGAATGAATTTAAAAATGTATTGTTTTATTCTTATATATACATTTAGAGATAGTTAGCTAAACAAATTTGATAGTAAATTATAATTTTAAAAAAATAAAAAATTAAGGATGTATAATGTTTATTCAGATTTAAAACATATAAATACATAACTTAAGCTAATAAAAAATAAATATAATACTCATTTACATTATATAAATAATTTTATTATATTAAAAATATATAAAATCTAAAAAAATATCTTGCAGCGTAGCGCAGGTAAATACTTAGTATATATAAAAAATGTCTATCAGTTTGTGTAATTAGAGAATGTTTTAGTTTCGATTATAATAATATGGGTGTACTTTGGTTATCCTTTTTATTTGTTTAGATTACTATATGTATACCATTCGTTAGTTATAATTTTGCCAACGTTTTTCAAGGTTTTTTGCCATAAAAAATTAGAAATAGGAGAAACAAAAAAAGGAAACATTGATTTTAAACATTAGAGAACCCGGTTCTTGATTTAAATAAATGGTAAATGATAAAATATGGTGTACTTTAGGCCCGGTTCTTGGGGTGTTGAAAGGAGTGCTTTTGCACCATGTCCATTTGATTTTTGATAAACTTCCTTTGTATTTTAGGGTCCATTTTTTTTTAAAAAACTATAAAATAGGGTCCTAAATTTCAGAAAATATTATATATATTGGTAAGTTTTTCAAAACAATTTGGGCTTAGCACTGGCCCAATATTTCATTGTGCCGGGCAGTTTGGTTATCCTTACCAAGTCTAACCGATCAGCAATATGTCCAAAACCTAACACACAATGTTAAGAACCAACCAAAGATAATCCAAATTCTGGTTTAATATGGTGAGTTTCTTTTTAACCGAGCCAAATTCGGGAGTGATCCAAATCAAAAGCGAAACCATATTTGGTTTTAATCAAACTGAATCGTCTAAATTGAAATTGGTAAGTTTTTTTTTTTTATGAACCAAAGCCACAATAAATCTATATCAACTTATCTAATTCATATCGATTTCCATATTTTCGAATAACATGTAGTTGACTTTGAAACCCTATAAATGATCGTTTGCCTTTAAAACCCCTAAACGAGAGGCTGTTCCGTGGTGTTTAATCCAATTCTGGAACAGGCGAACAGTCAACAAACACACAATCGTCTTCAAAGGTTCGTTTTTTTTTTAACAAACGTTTGTGGGGTTTTGCTGTTTCTTTTGTCTTGGATCCAAAACATAATGAAAAGTTCCTCGCTTTTCTTGTTTTGTTTTTGGGTTTAGCTAATTGCTAGTACTGGTTTTGCTGTGTAGTTTTGTAACGTAAAGATGTGTCATCTATATAGTTGCTCTACAGACAATCAAAAGAGAAGTTTGACAAGGATCCTGACTTTAAGGAAAAGGCACAACGAGCTGTTGTTCGTTTACAGGTGAAATCACTGCATGCGTTCTTGTGTTTTGTAGTGTCTCTCAATACGAAGCATAATTTGGCTGCAAGATCCAATCTACTCACGTTGTCTCTTTTGTTTTTTTTTTTGTTTGTTTTAGGGTGGAGATCCTGTTTACGTCAAGCCTTGGTTAAAAATTTGTGAAATCAGCCGAACTGAATGTTCCAAGGTTATAAACCGCCTTCAAGTTGATCTTGAAGAAAAGGTAAAATATTATAGATGGGACATGTACTACATTAGTTTGGAGAAGAATAGTAATTGAAGAAAAATATAAAATATTGATTCATGTACAGGGAGAAAGCTTTTACAAACCTTACATAGCAAACGTGATTACGGAATTGGATAGTATGGGTCTAGTTGAACAACATGAAGGTGCTCGTGTGGTTCGCGTCAAAGGCTTCAAGGTCCTACTCATGCTTGTCAAGAGTGATGGTGGTTTTAACTACGACACAACTGATATGGCTGCTCTTTGGTGGGTTATATAATCCGGTTTTTAGTAGCAACCTTTTGTGAAAACATATCTCATATATTTACTGAAGTGTAGGTCTTAATTAATCTGTGTGGCTCAGGTATCGGCTTAATGAAGAGAAAGCTGAGTGGATTATATATGTGACAGATGATGGCCAGCAAAAGCACTTTGATACGTTCTTCCAAGTAAGTTTGATTAAATATATATATATATATATATATATACACATTTGTGTTTTGTATTTGACAATATTGTATATAGCGGAATCAGAGATTCTAAAATGTGAAAACGAATATTATGAATAAAAACTAGCAGAATCATGTTCATAACGTGAAAAATCTATGGCTTAGTTGTGGTTATCTTGTTACTTTGAAATCAGGCAGCCAGAGAAGCAGGATGGCTACAAAAAGATGCTGAACTTACCCTAAAATTAGCCATGTTCCTTTCGGTGTAGTCCTTGGGGAAGATCACAAGCGGTTTAGAAGCCGGGATACAGATATAATCTCGCTAACTGATTTACTAGATGAGGCCAAGACTCGAAGTAAAGCTGCCCTAATTAAGCGTGGTATGTAACTTGTGTGTTACGAAATGTTTAGGTTTTTGGCTTTGTTTGAACCATTGTTCATCCCTTACATGTTGGCTCTTTGTGTAGGTAAGGACAAAGAATGGACACTAGAGGAGCTGGACCAAACAGCTGAAGCAGTTGGATAAGGTGCGGTGAAGTAAGTAATCTCATTCTCTATTCTTCTGCTTTAGTATCTTCTTGTTTTACGCTAACTTCTTTTGGTTTTGTTTCATTTTTCTTTCAAGGTATGCTGACCTAAGGTTAAATAGAACGATGAGTTTTATTTTTAGCTATGATCAAATGCTTAGTGACAAGGTTCTTAAAATTTGGCAGCAAATCTACAATATTTTTCCATTATGTAGTTATCTTAGACATGCTTCATACTAAATATTATGTTTCATCATGAGCCCAGGGAGATACAGCTGTTTGCCTTCTTTACACTCATACTCGGATCTACTCTATCATCCAAAAGTCTGGCAAAGACATTGGTGAGCTGAAAAAGGTATCTTCAACAGCAAGAAACTCTAGTTTTCTTGGATTTGTAAACTTACTGATTTCACATTTTTATCATAACAGATAGGAAAGATATCACTGGATATTGCAGACGAACGTGCACTTGGGCTTCTCCTGCTTCAATTTGCTGAGGTAACATATACATTATACTCATTAATTAGTAGTTTCATTCCTTTTTTGTTTCTTGGTAACAAGATGAACATTTGCAATAATAACCGTGTGTTCAAACGATTTGCAGACGGTTGAGAAAGCGTGCACCAAATTGTTACCGAACATACTGTGCGAGTACCTCTACAACTTATCCGAACACTTCACCAAATTCTACACCAATTGTAAAGTGAGAGCATTCCCAAAACTTTTTTACTTTTCTATTTATAGTAATCAACCTCCAGACCATTATTTTCATCTTTTGAACTTTTAACAGGTCAATGGTTCAGCAGAGGTAACAAGCCGTCTCTTACTTTGTGAAGCAAAGGCTATAGTCATCCGGAAATGCTTCCACCTTCTTGGAATCACTCCTGTTTACAAGATGTGATACATTATCATCACATCATCATTGCAACAACCCCATTGTGCAGTGATTTCGACATTATATAATCTCTTAAAAAGCAACAGTCTAATTAACCCATGATGATCTATTTCAAAACATAATCAATAACAACAAATATTATCAAGTTCTTGGTCTTTTTAGATTGTTATAGTTTCATGTGATCAATGATAGCCTTCGCCAATGGCTGGCTCTTTTGTTTTTCTTCGCTCTTGGTCGAAGAATTTGTGGTAATTTCAAGCTTCTCATTAACAACAACAAACATAAAATAGTTAAAATGTAGTTTCTTTTAAGCGCAGGAAACAACGGCTTTGTTTAGATTAATTTAACATCTTCCAATAAAAAAAAAAAAGTAAAATACAAACGGACAACAATACATCCACTTTATTTATTTTTATTTAATAAGAAAACCAAACCGGGTCAATTTTCTATTTTACTGAGACGCAAAACCAGGAGAAGAAAATACCGAGAAGTTTTTTAAGCACTTGTGAACCAACGGTCGACCCTTTGAGTAAAACAGAGTACCAAAGAGCAGAGGTTTTCGGAGAATTTTTTACGTTCATGATCGCTGAAATTCACATGATATAATCTATACTAGGTGATTTGCCCGCACGCCTATACGGACTGCAACTATCAGGAAAAAAAATTCATAAATAGATCAAAAACAAATAATAATATCCAGAAACAAAAAAAAAACAAAAAAACTATTATAATCGACCATGTTATTATCATCCTAAAATATAATAGTCATACTAATAACTAAATATTATTATCGTTCATTACGTCACGAAGACTTTTTGCTTCTATAATTGGAAGGTCCAATAAAACTTGCGAACATTTGAAAGTGGTTTCTACTCTCCAATAACCATTCCTTCGAATAATCGATACAAACCTCACTATACATATAACGAGCTGCTGAATGCATGACGACTAAGCTTCGAGAAAATCCTATGAATATTCATTTTTCAAAAGTACTGGAACTCAGAAGCCACTGTTACCATTGTAATAGATAAATCACTCATTATCACCAAAAATCTTAAATGGATCATATCAACATGCACCAATAAAAGTTAGAAAAATATGCCGTTCATCCACAAGTTCAAAAGTTATGTCTGTTCTCTTACAAAAACCAAGCGCATGAAATCTTCTAAAATTTCCAACATTAACAACTCGACCGATTACGTCTGAAATACAAACACTATATGAGTAATTTAGATTAACCAAACAAAACTAAACACAGCCAATAGAACTCATCAATACAGACATTGAGATCCATACATCCATCTTTAATGGCTTCAATATTCACGAAAAAAAAACGGCTGGTAATTTCTGTGGGAGGAGTCTTAACAAATACCATACGTGGCAGACAATGGATCATATAATTGTGCATACTTGGTCGAAACTCTCCAAAAACAGGCATTAGTATCACATAACAGAATCCAATCACCCTCACGAATCTGTGATACGAATATAGACGCTATATCTTCGCATAATACTACATAGATTTTATCACCCTACAAAATTATGACCATTAGTATTAATTTTTATCAATCATCTACAGTTAAACACATGAACATATAGATTAACTAACTGAGAAAACAATCACTTACCTTGTTATCAACCAATATAAGGTTAGTCATCTCTCTGACACCGATCAAGTGTTGAAAAATACGGAGAACATTCACTCTAGCACTCCACCTATGATTGAACGGTTCCAACTCAGACACTTTGTAGAGAACCTTGTCGAATTTTTGATAAATACTTCTTGAGAGTAAGTGAGCCATGGGGTTCTTTGATCTGTAGACGTTAATAGTCTCGAAGTGAATTCGGTTATTAACAAAGGATTAGTATATAAGAAGAAGTAAGTAAATAATCAACATAGCTAAAACTCCGTTAAATAAATATATATGTAATATTTACTATATAATATCCTTTTTACGGGAAAGATTAGTATATATCTATACTAAGAGAATATATCTATAATATACATAACTTACAGGGTTTATAGTCAATTAATATTTATCCATGATATACTTTTTTCTATTTGGAATATTTTCTTATGTTGTTATATGACAATTTAAAGATATAATTGGAACAAATATTACGAAAATATGAATCGTGTATAATATTCCTTTTCGAAAGAAGCGAAATTCCATAGATGGAGAAAATTTACTAAATTACGCGACTTGTTATAATAAAATGAATAAGACACCGCGAAAGATAGAGATATATTAATGCAAATAATGAAATCATTAATACCACCGTCTTCAGAGTTATCTGAAGTTTTACATACGAAAAAATGAAAATCACACTTTAACGAAAACTTAAATCTCTGCACCAAGTGTTAACAGACTCCAAACCAGCATCGATGCTCAAATATTTTCTTGCTAACCTGCAAAGTAATTTTAAAGTTATTAATTAATAATACAAAGAACAGGATGAAACTCAAATCTAATCGATAAACTTACAGAGATCTGAATTCGATAACTTCTGCGAAGCAGAAATCCATCATGATCTTAGTAGGAGGAGTCGAAGATATAACAATATTACCTATATATAGATAACCGAAATTTTAAAACATACTTATTTTAAACAATATATCAAATAGTACAAACATTCGTAGACATCAACGATCGCCCATCTTGCAACAAAAATCACTGTATCATTGGCACATCCAAGCCAACCAGTATGGAACATGCGAGCATCATCGTCAAACATCTTGCATTTAATACGAACATTGCTGCATAAATGCAAACAAGCGTGTTAAATCAAATACCAACATTTAAAATCCCAAGAAACAAAATTATAGTTACAACAACATACCTGAGACTCATTAGTTCAAATGCTATTATTGCACATCCACCAATTCCCTAATGAACACAATGTCTCGTTGAGATTTCCAGCTTTCCACCATTGACAACTTTTCCAATTAAACCTAAAATATACACAATTTACACAGTCAATGTTCAAACTAAACTATATTAATGTCGAAATTTACAGAAAGCGGATACGAACATACCAACCGAAGAAGTACCGATAGGACCTTGCTGAGAATCCTCTCAAAGTCAACGAACTTGAAACTTTTTCGTTCAGACTGATAATCTTGCATATGAACAACAGTTGGACTAACGATAAGTAAGTAAACATGATTACACGTAACACTAAATGGGTGATCAGTATCAACAATAACAATTTTTTTAATTGTAACCCAAACACCCTCGCGTAACTGAGGCGAAAAACTATCATAATCATTAGCGTGAACTGTACCACACATCTCCACGCCCTGCATTTTAACATTTAATTAATAATGAAATAACAACCTATGCAAAACTACACAACAGAGTTCACTAATTCAACAACACAACACGAACCTTGTTATCACAAAAAATTAATCCCAATCTTACATCATATGGATCAAACGAATTAGTCCACACTCGTAATATCTTCACCAAAACAGCTGTCTCGACAAAACCAGGACTCAAAGGTGAAACACCAAAAGAAGATGGGTCAAACGGATTTGCTTTTTCCGAAGACTCCATGCCAAAAAGCAAGCTAGTGGATATTATATGTCTATTACAGAGACTGAAACAGCTAAATATAAAGACTATCTATAACAAAGATTACAAATAAATGTCTCGTATATAAAATAATATGTAAATAGATACGGTATCCAACAATATAGAAATTCCGATCAGTTAACATTAACAACGGGTATATTACCTTTAATAGAAGATTTATATATAAAATTGAGATATTCAAATCTATCGAATATAGATCCACATACACGTTCGTATTTATCCAAAAGAAAGATTATATAAATAAAAGTTAAATGTATACACGTTCATATTTATCTAAAAAGAAGATTATATAAATAACATGTAAATATTATGAATAAAATATAAAAAGTGTAAATAATAGAATACGCTTAAAAGTGAAATGTATATTTTGGCTAAAACCCAAGCCCGATAGTTAGCATGGTTATATGTAGGGTATTAATTTTATCGAGTTCGTTTCTAAATCCTTAACGCTAGATATCACTTCAATCATAATGATACATCTTCTAAACCATTGTCGAATATACGTTAGAATACAATAACATGCGACTCATTCGATTTCACAAAAGCGAAGCTTTCCAATTGATGAATATACGTGACTTTGTAATGCTCTATTATATATTATACTGAAATCAAATACACTAAACCGAATAAAAGTCTTCCAAACTAGAGACCCATATTAAGCACGGCCGTAACAACAGAATAAAAGAAACAAAAAACTACATAATTATTGTTGAGTATAACATCGCCAATCAAGGAAAAAGAACCCTAGAGACAAATTTCAGAAATTGCAATGGTTTAAGCAAAGAACCAGTATGAACCAAAACAACAAACAATTCGCGCAATGAATAAACATTGGACCATTCACTTGCTTCAAAAATCACATCAACATACTCTCGGTCATTGTCATCCACACCGAACGCGCAGTATCTGTCCTCGAACATAGGATAAACAATACCATGGACAGTCCTAATATCCTCAAAAGAACTTGGACCCTTGATTACATACAACAAAAGTTGAAGATAATAGATCTCTCAGGATATGCTGATACAGTACATCAATCGATTTGATCGGGATGACTTCTCACATGAACGTCTCCAATGTTTACGGTTAACATCCCACTCCCAATTCAAAAGAAAATCAGCGTAAGTCAAGGACCTTGCTTCCGGAAAATTTTCATTGCATTCCATCCAACTCATAAACTTTGACTGGACCAATCTGTTTAACCGATGAGGGAGATGAAACTGTTGGTCATATATGCCTACAAACATATATAGATTTAATGGCAAAAATAACCACATAAAAGCTAAATCGATAAATTAATAAATAAACCTCATCCAGAAACTAACCAGGTATAAACTCTGAAGACATCTTAAAAGAACACACGCAATGTCAATTGGATAACAACGAAAGACCTAACCTCAACAGCACACA